CAAATCATGTTACATACATTTTGGAAACAGTTATATGTGGTGAGTAATAATATATGTATATTCAATGATTAAAACAGTTCGCAATTACAGACGTTAGGAGCTGTATAATGCATGCTCTGTAAAGTAATTAGAAAATACAACACACCCTTAGGGTTCCTCCTCTGATGAACAATCGGCTTTCGTTAAGAGAGCAATTATTGACATGGATACAGCGCTGGCCTTGCAGTAGTGTGACGAGATGGAGTTACATGTGAAACAGTAACAATAAACACATGTGGTGAGTTGGACTGCCGAATGATGGCATGACATACGAAAACAACAACAATAAACACATGTGGTGAGTCGGACTATCGAATGATGGCATGACATACGAAAACAACAACAATAAACACAAATTGATAGGTGGTCTATGAAACGAGGGTATGACATATGGAAACATTGACAATTAATACCTGTGTTAAATACTTTACCATTCGTTTTTATCACAAATACATGATCGGAGTTTATTCGACTCTCTGGGGAGGTAATGGCATTCATCTGCTATTGCAAATGCCCACAACCCTCGATGTCAAAGAGTGTTCATTACGTACCTGCTTCTGTCTGTAAGTTGACTTTGTAAATGAATTCAAGTTTAATATTTCACATCTATAAGCACTAGGCAAACCAATCAATATTCGATAAGTACCAAATATATATACATATATATATGGGTTATTTGGTGGTGAAAATCGCAGAGGAATAAGCTAAGCTCAGGTTATATGATGAGAAATCTTGCAGACTGACATTAAACATGCGAATCTCCTTCTTTCCTAAACTGATCTTGAACCATCCTACATTCAAACGTACAGTGATCATGGTCCCGTTTGTGCTTACTACAATGTACTTAAACTTACACTTGTATTAGTCCCCGATGGTCGCTTGGCTTTACAACAATAGGAAGTTTCTACCAAGGAGTATTAATGTCGCGGAAACCTTCGAGAGGAGTGTTCACTATGGTAAGTTATAGGATTTACAAGCCAAAATATAACATATAACATATAACAATATACCACGAAATCATCTATTACCCAGACCAACCTGAGTTTTATTGCTAACATAGATCGAACCATGATCTAACAGGAGTGAGTGAGTGAGTTGGGTTTAACGCTGCTTATAACAGTATTCCAGTCATATCACGGCGTGTCAGCTTAATGTGGGAGGAAAGCCCGAAGTGATGCAGGTCAAAGACGTTTACCACTTCGGTGAAATCACGAGCACGGGTATGGTGCTGACAAACCTAGAAACATAATAGGGGCAAATCGGGATTCGAACCCACAATCATAGGTTTCTGGTGTGCCCAAGGGACGCAACTCAGCGAATCGCGGCGCCTTAGACGACTGGGCCACCCGTGCCCCCTGATCCAACAGGAGCTCTTGCAGTACCTCATGTCATAAACAGACACTTAGTCCATGAAATAAAGTTATCCTTTTTATCCTATTCAAATATATATAAATTTATTATAATTTATATATACAAAATATAAAATATATGATCCAAATGGAGCCCATAACAATCCCTAATTTCAGAGCTGAGGCAATCGAGACTTGCCAAATCATTCTAGACCTGAGTTTGACTCCTTTGTCAATTTTATTCACTAGGAGCTGGGAGAGAGACGACTCATGTCTTTGGTAAATGGTGTCCTAATTATATTTGCATGTTCTGCAGTGTCAAAGCGGTTGTAGGGAGCCAATGATGCACGGTTCTTTTCCAGATCCATGCAAATGCTGGTAGAGGTTCAGGCCAGAATATATAAGAATATTTCAAAGCTATTTTAAGCTACGTTCCATTAAATAAAACTTGTAATAATAAGGAACAACATCCAAATACTGGTTAGTATGCAGGCAACGTTTAAGTGACAATACCCTTTCTATGATCATGCATACGATGATATTTTTAAAAGATAATATTAAGATAATATTAATTAAAAGCAAAATGCTTCTTGCACCTGGTTGATGTGTGTGGAAAGACCGAACTGGAGAGGAATAACATTCATTTATAAGAAATTATGGAAGTCTATAGATCAAAATCGGTAAATTAATAAATTACTTCACCTGAAGGTTTTCTTTATTAAATTCATTTTAAACATGACGGATAGCAGTTAATTGTGGCGAATATACAACAACATGAAGCCCTCGACGACACTTTGTTTATTTGTTGTTCAAAACGGCGCTCAGCAATATTCCAGCTATATGACGACGGTCGGTAAGTAATCGAGTCTGGACCACACAATCCAGTGATTGACATCATGAGCATCTATCCACTCATTTGGGATACGATGACATGCGTCAACCAAGTCAGCGAGTCTGACCATCTTACGACAAGCATAGTCGCCTTTTAAGGCAAGCATGAGTTGCTGAAAACTAACCTGGTTTGTATAATGATGTGCTTTCATGCATGTACATTTATAAAACTGCCCCCAGCAAATGACACCGCGTATGTAATAAACGTTTCGTGAAGATGCTTCACACATCTTCCCGAGGTAAGAGAGTTAACTGACTTTAATAGTCCAGTTTCCACCCTTGCCGAACAACGCTGGAATTACTGGGCTCGATTGTAGCGCCACCAGTGGATATTACCAGTTATGTCCCTTCTAAGCCTCTCCTATGGACCAATCAGATTCCACCTCTCGTATCATTTGCTTTCGCTTCACACAAAATGGTGGGACCCAGTCAGGGCGATCTGATCGATAATCAAGATCTATATTGTGATCTATACGGGTCTTATATCACGAAATGCATCAAATCACGTGAGCACCTTAACTAAAAACATGAAAAGATTTGCAAAATATCTGCTGACAATGAATTGGCGCTGCTCTTGTTTGGGAATTCCTGCAATCGACCAAAATCTGCACGACAGTTTACGAACCGGATTTCGATTTCGGTGCGCGATTTTGATTGGACTATGCATAGACTCGTTAGTCCAGCCAAAACTCCATAATCCCAGCCTTGTTCGGCAAGGGTGGAAACAGGACTTTTATAGTCAGTTAACTCCCTTGCCTCGGGAAGATGGCTTCACATGGTCACTAATACAACTGACTGTACATGTGTGTGGGATTTAACTTGATATACCGACCACTACTATGTAGAGTATCAGGAGGTATGGGGAACTGTGGTGTAACGTCGCGTTCAAGATGGTGCACTTATTTAGTGACGTAGTATACGTACAAAATATAGGACCACTCACATGAGATTGAATACAATTACATATGCATGATTCCGTAAAGATTCTGTGTTAAAATTGGTCTTCAACAGCCAATGATTGTCATAAGAGGCGACTAACGGGATCGGAAAATTGAGTTGACGTTCCAATAGTCAATTGTCCTGACCCGTGAAGATCCGGGGTAGAGTAGTTCTTCAGCAACCCATGCTTGCCCTAAAAGACGACTATGCTTGTTGTAAGAGGCGACTAACGGGATCGGGTGGTCAGGCTCGCTGACTTGGTTGATGCATATCATCGTATCCCGATTTGCATAGATCGATGCTCATGATGTCAATCACTGGAGTGCCTGGTCCAGATTCGATTATTTACAGACAGTCGTCACATAGCAGGAATATTGCTGAGTGCGGCGTAAAACAACAAACAAACAAAGATAGATTATCATAATGTCAATCACTGGACCATCTGGTCCAGATTTGATTATTTACAGACCGCCGTTAATAGCTCAATATGGCTGAGTGCGGCGTTAAACAACGAACAAATAAACAAAGATCGATGATCTTGATGTCAATCACTGGATTGTCTGGTCGAAGCTTCGATTATTGACAGACCACCGAGAGCGGCGTTAAACAATAAACAAACAAACACAGAACTAAATATACGACCACTCACATGAGACTGAATACCATTACATCTGTATGAGATCCGTGAAGATCCGGGGTAGAATGGGTCTTCAGCAACCCATGCTTGTCTTAAAAGGCGACTATGCTTGTCGTAAGAGGCGATTAACGGGATCGGGTGGTCAGGCTCTCTGACTTGGTTGATGCATGTCATCATATCCCGATTTGCATAGATCGATCATGATGTCAATCACTGGAGTGTCTGGTCCAGATTCGATTATTTACAGACAGTCGTCACATAGCAGGAATATTGCTGAGTGCGGCGTAAAACAACAAACAAACAAAGATAGATTATCATAATGTCAATCACTGGACCATCTGGTCCAGATTTGATTATTTACAGACCGCCGTTAATAGCTCAATATGGCTGAGTGCGGCGTTAAACAACGAACAAATAAACAAAGATCGATGATCTTGATGTCAATCACTGGATTGTCTGGTCGAAGCTTCGATTATTGACAGACCACCGAGAGCAGCGTTAAACAATAAACAAACAAACACAGAACAAAATATACGACCACTCACATGAGACTGAATACCATTACATCTGTATGAGATCCGTGAAGATCCGGGGTAGAATGGGTCTTCAGCAACCCATTCTTGTCCTAAAAGGCGACTATGCTTGTCGTAAGAGGCGACTGACGGGATCGGGTGGTCAGACTCGCTGACTTGGTTGATGCATGTCATCGATCCCAATTGCGTGGATCGATGTTCATGATATCAATCACTGGATTGTCTGGTCCAGACTCGATTATCTACAGACCGCCGTCATATAGCTGGAATATTGCTGAGCGCGGCGTTAAACAACAAGCAAACAAACAAAGATAGATGATCATGCTGTCAATCACTGGATCATCTGGTCCAGATTTGATTATTTACAGACCGCCGTCATATAGCTGAAATATTTGAATGTGGCGTTAAACAACAAACCAACCAACCAACATATGTATTATGTATGAAGACGTATTTTTACACTGCATGTGTTTTATCCTTAACAGTTTAACGCGCTCGCTCTCATACCCTCGCTCTCATTCCCTCCGCCGTATTTCGTCATCATGTGGTGCACCGATTTCTGCGTTCATCACAAACTGCATCAGCCCGCTGCAAGCACGAGACAGTCCCCTCCACACTCCTGGCTTCCGTTTAGCGCCCCCTGCCTCCTGCACAGGCCGGGGCTATATCACCAGCGCCAGCATCCCCGCGTCAGCGAGGTAGAAGCAACGTTTGTGTGACATCCACTGCTCATGAATGAAGCTCGGCAGAGTGTGGGCAGTACACATGTGTTTACGGATACCGGATGTGTTTTCATGAACTCTGAATGACAAAGTCAAGTGCTTCTTTACCTTTTATTGAAATACATCTACGGGGAAGTATTTTTGGTGGTTTTGAGGAAACGTTCAATGCTGATGTCAAGAGACTGCTCTCAGGGAGTGTACTAAAGGGTCCATCCAACTGTATTTAGAGTTTGTGAACATGTGTCTTCAATTCGTAGAAAGAATGGGCATTAAAAGCGAATTCCGTACTTGTAACTTTGGATTAAACCACAGTGAACCTCATCTTTTCGTTTCATCTCAGGTAAGTTTTCGATTTAATATTTTTCATGTATATATATTTCTGAACGGAATGTATTAACAATTTGTAGTGAAACGGTATGGTAGGGGTATGGTATGTGTACATACTTTTTTCGACATTAGGATTTTACTGAAATTACTACTGCATAGAGCGACCAAAGTAACACTTTCTAACAGGTGGTTGATAAACTGTGGCAACGTCACGGTTGAGTGAGTGGGTGAGTGAATTTACTTTAACACCGCTTTGAACAGTATTCAGTTTATCACGGCGTGTCAGCTGGATGTGGGATGAAAGTCCGAAATGATGCAAGTTTCAAACGTTTACCACTTTGGTAAAACCCACGAGCACGGGTGCTAACAAACCTAGAAATAACATCGGGTGAACTTGGATTCGAACTCACAATATGATACGCTGGAGATGACAGTCGACCCTAGTGTACGTGATGGAGTAGTTTAAGTTGGGAAGAAACGCAGTTTGAAAATCAGCCAGGGCTCATTTCGTGGCTTCCCTATTTATCAAATGACAGCAATGGATACACACCAGAATTAGACCTGCTTCGTGTAGCCGTTACAGTCTGGTCTCATCCGGGGGCACGGGTGGCCTAGTCGTCTAAGGCGCCGCGATTCGCTGTGCAGAGTTGCGTCCCTTGGGTGCGCCAGAAACCTATGATTGTGGGTTCGAATCCCGGTTCGCCCCGATTATGTTTCTAGGTTTGTCAGCACCATACCCGTGCTCGTGGGTTTCACCGAAGTGGTAAACGTCTTAGACCTGCATCACTTCGGGCTTTCCTCCCACATTAAGCTGACACGCCGCGATATAACTGGAATACTGTTAAAAGCGGCGTTAAACCCAACTCACTCACTCACTAGTCTCATCCGTCGTTACTCGTAGTCTCAGTGATGTTTCGATACTATTGTATAACGATGCATGTTAGCGTGACATTGGTTATAGAAGCCAGTATACAGGCGGTCGGGTAGCCTAGTGGTTAAAGCGTTCGCTCGTCACGCCGAAGACCCGGGTTCGATTCCCGACATGGGTACATGTGTGAAGCCCATTTCTGGTGTCCCCCGCCGTGATATTGCTGGAATATTGCTAAAAGCGGCGTAAAACCCTACTCACTCACTCGAAGCCAGAAAACCGATCACGATTAATGCTTTATATCCATTACCATCACACCCAAAAAGGGGATCATGCAAACAGCTGGTGATATTAAAGGTAGCTCCTAGTTAGAGCTTTTTGTTGTTCTGGTAGCTTATCGCGCTTAGGGTGTTGAAAGAAGCTGTAAAATATTAACTTGTGTTACGTACCGATTCCCAAATTAAAACAATATGTTAACCCAGAAATCTGTACGAAATAGAACTTTGTGTGAAACTAACAAACAACCAACACATAACAATTGTATTATAAACTGAACTTGGTTTACAAATCAATACCAAGTACTACACAGCAATTACAGTGGCAGTACACAATAGAGTTGTGGGCGGATACAGCTTTTTTTAAAAGGGGGGTGCACAATTAAGATCTATTTATTGTCTTTGGTGGTAATTTATACAGAAATAAAGATTTTTTCCGAAATAAAAAGGGGGGGTCCAGCACACACACACACACACACACACACACACCCAACCCCCAACACACACACCCCTCTGTATCCGCCCATGCAATATTCAATGACAGTATGACATGCGAGAGCAATGGAAATGACAATGAAAAAAGAATAATTATCACACCGCAGCAACAGTGGTCAAGCTTCCGAGATAGGCCTTGGCCGAACGCAAGGGTGAAAAGTGATCTTCACAAGCAGGTCTTGGTGTAATGTCAGATGAAATGTGAGATGAGACAGGCACGTGCCCGCTCCAATTATATAATCTAGCTCCCTAATCAAGTGTCAATAGAACATCACAAAATATTCCACGTTTCTATAACACTTGACACCCATTCATGTTATTCCGGAGGTTTACAGATAATTCGAGCATTTTAATATTATAACTTCCTCACCATTGCTTAAAGTAAATAGTCATACATTCCTAACAACTAATCATTGTCCAAATACAATGCAATGAACTTCTACTGAATCTCACATAAACAATCTAATACAGTTCCAATCATTGTTTAACGTTAAATTACGTTTCCTTATAACAGTTGTGACACAGCTAAATTAATGGATAATTGTTTCTAAAGTTTCTAATTGTTTCTATTTCAGTGGGGCCACCCTCGTCTCTACCTATCCTGGAGGATATTCTGGGCTCTATTCCATACATCATGGTTGGTCGGGAGCATGGTGTCGTCAACCAACGTGACGTCATCACCGCTAGGTGGCGCTTTGTGGTTCATCTACCTCACCAACTGGACCTACCTCCTGCTGACCACCAGTGCTGTCCTGGACGCAGTCATCGTGGTGTTCGTCAGGATCAACAGACAGGACATTCAAAATGGTCAGTATTAAAATGCAAAAAGGAGACAATTTCGAAAACGATGTTTCATGTTTGTTTAATTTTAAACGCCGCAGTCTACAATATTTCAACTATCTGAGCACGGCCTGTAATATTCAAATCTGGTCCAGCATTCAGGTGTTTGGTATTACAGAGCTCCAGGTAACTTTTGAGCAATTGAGTTTTTACTCTAGGGTTTCTACTTTATTTGGGTTATTACATTTTTCATTAAGTAACCAATATTTTTTCACTGATCTATTCATCACTCTATTGTTTTTTTCTCAAAATTAGTGAAAATATTTTAGGATTTAAAAAAAATGAAATGATGTTTTAGATGTATATAATTTTTTTTATAAATATATAGGCTTGACTCGGAAAGTAAATTAGCTCGTTATTGTGTTTCCGAAATTAGCTCCTACATGTATGTACGCATGCTAAAAAAGCTTCTTTGGATATTTACGCGAGCTTTTTAATACATTTAAGATTTTCATTCAATTCATGCGTTTCTGTATGCAAATTAATTGAAAGTAATTGGGTTTTAAATATTTGAGGGGGGGGGGGGGGGGTATTTTACGCAAATACGCTGCTTATCTGTAGCTCTGTAATATTATAATCATCGATCCACGTTGTCGGGGTACGATGACACACAGTCACCCGAGCCTGACCAGCCGAGACATTTAGTCGCCTCTGACGACCAGTAAAGGCTCTGAATGGGGACCAATGGAGTGATAAGTCGGAGTGAGTGAGTGAGTTGGGATTTAACGCCGCTTTTAATTATTCCAGTTATACCACGGCGTGTCAGCTTCCTTAGTGTGGGATGAAAGCCCAAAGTGATGCAGGTCTTTCTTATGATAATGGTTACGGTTTTTGTCACATTTATTATACCACACATATTTTACTATAGGAATCATGTAAGCAAGTTATTTCCAAATTTGGAGTCGAGGTAGCTCTTGGATATACAGTACCAACGTTTTCTTGTGTCTGCACTCAAGTGATGAATGTTACTTTTTACAGTACTGAATATTGCTGAATTACTTTTTCAGGCTTCACCTCATATCTACCTTGGTACCTGAAGGTGTCCTGGCTCCTCTACAGTGTCGTCACTGAAGGGAGTTTACACATCAGCGCCCTCTACTGGATCTTTATTTTCAAAGGTGCGTCGTTTGTTGAATATGTCTGTATTTGGGTTCAGCCACATCCATACATCGAGATGTGTATCCAAAATGCACCTCAATTGATATAAGTAACACTTAAAAGATATAATTGATTAAACCATTCTTAACAAACAAACACCGCTACCATGAGGCATATCATGTGGTATGTTGCTACAGTATCCTAACAAAGTGTTACCTGCAGTAAGTAACCTATAGAACCACATTCTTAATGTCAGCCCTGATAAGATGTTGGCCCAAAAAATTACAAACGTTATCAAATCGTTACTAGACCGAAAATTTAAAACAGTCGCCGAAACACGGCGAACGCAAATTCCAAAACGCAACTATGATACTCGTATCAAATACATCACCATAGAATAATCATTTCTTGTTTGTTTCATTGTTGGTTACCATCAAACATGGGGGTATACTTTCTTTTGCTCGGCAGTGTATTGACACATGAGGTGAGGTTATAGTGCTAGCCCACTGAGATACCATGCCGCAGGTAAACATGAATACCACACTCAGACACAGTATACTGACTCCGAGCCGACCAGTCCTTGTTTTAGCCCCTTAATGGCGAGCGCCAGGCAGGGTAACAACAAGTACCATCTTTTAACGTCTTTTGGTATGACGAGGCCGGGGATCAAACCCGGACCTTCCGCTCTCCGGGCGGACGCTCTACCACTAGACCACGGAGGCGGTCTCACTCCATGGCAGATGGAGGCGCTGATGTGCTATCTGTTGAAATGTTTGATCATAATGTCTGAAGGACTGTCAGTCATGCATGCTGTTTTCACGTTGACATTTTCAGATCAAGATCTTACACTTCTGCGATTCATCCTCCACGGCATGAACTCTATCTACGTCTTGTCCAACCTCCTCATCACCGCCATGCCAGTTCGTTTGTATCACGTGATCTACCCAATTATCTGTGGCTTCATCTACACGCTTTTCAGCATCGTTTATCACATACTTGGCGGGACCAATAGAAAGGGAGATCCCTATATCTACAAGATTCTTGATTGGTCCAAATTGAAGCGGACTCTACCTCTTGTGTTTCTGAGTACCTTTGTGGCTCTACCGTTTTTGTATTTCGTCGTTTTCTTTATATATAAAGGGAGAATATATCTGCGCTCGAAATTTTGCCATGACAACAATGATGCGAGGATCTTGGACTCATCAAATGAAAGAACAGATAGTGAGTGTGTTCGTGTTTGACAGGTGATCATGTTTCATCCTTTTAAAAGACAGAAAATAGAATTATGTGAAAAGTCATCTCAAGATGGACATATTTACAGGAATAATTTTAATGTGTCTTGGCGGAAGGATTCCAAGCAATGACTTGAGGTCAAGTAGCTTCTAAAAGAACACATGACTGGAACCACCATTTTCACCTCATTTGTACACTGGAACACTGGACACTAAACTGTGCCCTGTTTCAACAGAAGGACTAAGATAATAAAATAAAGCATCAATACTTATATGTACTCAGTCATGTGAACGACTGTAACAAATGTTATATTTGGGACAACACTTTCTAAGTAAAGTACAGATTCTAGTACTTGTTTTGGGTTGTGTCCCGCCCGGGACTCGAACCCACACTGCCAGAGTAAAGCACCTAATCGCCAGCACACATAGTATTGTGTATTCATCAGAACGGTTGTCAGACTCTGGTCATGTAGACGGTTGATACTCTTTCATTCATTGGTAAGCCAATTAGGTCTTTACGTTATACAATACAAACCATTAACTCTTGTTACATTGTTTCATTGTCTTCATTTAATGATGATAAACGGGGATTCCAAGAATGGACCATACTGACTACAACGCAATTACAAGTACACAAATATGTTTCGAGTCATGACAGAATCAACATACAGTATGTTAACCTTCGCATTGTCATACTGTTCCATTACTATCGCTCTTTTGATCTACTAACAATGGTATCTCGCTAACTGGAACTGATTAATTCTATATATCGTTCAATTAAAGAGGTTTATTGACCAATCAGAACCCTTACCGGTACGGTTGCTTCCTTGTCATGCAGATGGCATCACGCATATTGAGTTCTTATTTACTCTTTGTTTTTTACGCCGCAGTCTGCAATATTACAGCTATATGACGGCCGCTTGTAAATAATCGTTCATATAAACCAGAGATTGATATTGTGAGCAACGAACCACGCCGTAGATGTACAATGACACCCTATAAACCAAGTCACTGAGCCTGGCCTTCCGATACATCTGGCCGCCTTCTTACAACCAACCCAGGTTGCTTGGGACTTAGTCTTACCCCGAATCCACACGGAGGCAAAGACAGTTAACAAGTTTTCACTGCTGGATAATTCTGGGATCAAGTCATTAAGAACATACCCTGTGTCTTTAATATGTGAAAAATAAACACACTGTAAACATCCAAGCAATTAGCTTTACATATGACAACATAACAGTAATAGTTACTTTACGACGCTACCCAAATGTTGTACGGCACCGTCTGATAGGCGATGCCTAGCTCTGACATGTTTTTACGATGCTGCTTGATCCTTAATGTACAAATTGTTAATAAACAATCTTAACGACTGATAAAAGATGCTTTTATGAAGAAGGGGAAATCACTTGTGCCAACATCCGACCCAGGCGGTACATATAACACGATAAGGACCTGGCACTTTCTCAAATCGGAGTCGATTAAAAGCAGGTTAGAGGCATACATATCACCGTTTATCAGATCCAGGTCAGCTGGGGTTTCTCCTTGCATTGATAACAGAGCGCGACCTGAGGTCGGGGTTGCAGCTCGATGTCTAAAACGTGATGAACACCCAGATATGATTCGGAATGAAAATAGATCCGAAGTGGTCAGCGGTGTTATAATTACACTGTTTAACTTCTTTGAGAGGCATTAAGAAGTTGGAGTACTAAGTAAGGATAAGATTTATGAACGAACAGCTTCTTTGTTACAATTAAGAGCGACGTTTTGGTGTAGGTTCTAACACCGTTATCAAGCAAGATAACGGTGTTAGAACCAACACAGCAATATAACATTGAAGACATTATATAACGTCAAAGCTAGAGAATACTCCGAAATAAACTCCATTGGCCATCTCCCTCCGTCATGTGACAGAAATGGATTTTCATCCAGTCTACAAAAATATTAGGGCTCTGTTCACTTCAAAAATCACACTGATACTTTTCAGTGGAGCGACGTCCTAACCCCGTTATCAAGCAATGATGTGCAGAGTATGGTGTACCATCAACTCATCAAAGACCCCAATCAGTCATAATCCTTTTGTTATATCACTGACTTCAACGGTCAATATGTTAACTACTTTTTTGTGTACATTACAGACTTCTCAACTCCAGGGTAACTACATCTGATATCTACCCAACTGTATAAACATTGCCTCCTACTTGTATATATACATGTCAACCATACTCTGTACATCACTTGCTTGATAACGGTGTTAGAACCTACACCGAAACGTCGCTCCTAATTGTAATAAAAAAGTTGTTCATCCATAGATCTTATCCTTTCTTAATAACAATGTTGTCTACATAGACGTGTTTGTAATGCATTATTAATTGCGCAATCGATATCATTAGCTGTATTTGTTTTTCAGTAATTCATCCAATTTTCAAAACAATCATTGTTGCAGGGATATGTAGCTGTTTGACCAATTGACTGTAAGCTTTCTTGAAGTGTGGGTCAATAAACTTTGTTCCTTAGTTAAATCTAATATAGCCAAATAAGAAACTGATCCAAACTATGAGTGAGTGAGTGAGTTGGCAGTAGGTTATTAAATTATCCACGATGTCATAGAACACATAGGAACATTTGGAGAACCCTAATATTAGGCAGGGATGTAGGCAGATTGTATGATAAGAGGGATGACTTCAACGTTCCAATAGTGAGTGAGTGAGTATGGTTTTACGCCGCTTTTAGCAATATTCCAGCAATATCACGACGGGGACACCAGAAATGGGCTTCACACATTGTACCCATGTCGGGAATCGAACCCGGGTCTTCGGCGTGACGTCAACGTTCCAATAGTCAACTTACCCTTTATGCCGAGCAATATTCCTGCAGCTACGACCTTTGGTAGAATCGAGCATGTTCTTTCTACCACGATTTCAAAGTGTCATACGACTCTTGCTCAGAAGTTGTTCGATCAAAGTTACAACATTCAAGGCCTCAGTCAGTAAAGCTTTCAAACATAGGACATTTCCAAATGTGACGCGTCAATGACAAGAATGATGAACGATGTAATTCCCTATTTGGACTTGTATCATAACCATTACGTTCCCGTATTTTCTTAGATGAACAATTGACTTGCCTTTGCATGTGTTTGTGACGGGTGCCAAGGGTGGCTTACGTTTTGTAATGTGATAGTAATTCATTAACATATGCTCATGATATAGTCGTAATCGAACAATCGACACTGCTGTTGGCAGAGACTTATTATGAATGTGGAAGGGTTTTGTCGCTTTCCTTTTTGCTACTTAAAAACAGATTAGCATGTTAAATATATGAAAAGTATAAGAAGACAGCTTATACTTTACTCCATAATCATAAAGTTCTAGTGTTCTCATTTTACTGAACATAATCATTCAGTTTATCAGTAAAACTTGTAACATTCTTTACTTTCCATTTTAAAGTTTATGTTTTGCTGATACTCAAAACAATATATCCTGGACGAAACTTTTGTCAGCTGTGCAATCATCACCTTGTGTAGCATCTGTATTCACATTTTATGCATCACTTATATAATTAGTTACAAGCATCGAGAGTACTTTACTTGGGAGTGACTTGCCTTTAATTGAGTTAATGTTAAGAGCCCGTAGTTTGTATTTCCTGTCTAATAACAATTACAAGCAAACCACGTGTTTCTTATACAACTGGATGCCTCAACCGCCTGTATATAACATCAGAATACTTTTTTAAAATACCTTTGCTCATTTTTCCACATGCCCTGTTTCTGAAATACCCCGTTCTAGTGATTATCGCCTCATACTCCAACACACGTGAAACACTTTAATATGGCAGCTGTTCTCAGATATAATACATACAAAATAACTTATGAATCTCCGAACGAGGAGGCTAATCGCCAGTAAGAGTTATATCCTTGATTTATCCTTGAAACAATATTTATTCACACACAGCTGTAACACACCAACACCGACTCTGTGGAAAATTCCACACAAGCTTTATAGGTTTAATACGGAATGTATTTCTCGGGCCAGCAGCAACATAACGTCTCTACATGTATGAGTGTACAGAACAAATAAGAAGAAGAAGAAGAAGAAGAAGAAGAAGAAGACAGGGTGTCTTACAGATCTCGTGTCATCGTACTGCGCTTCGAATGACATTATCTACATGGAGCAGAAAGGAGCCAGAAAGGGATGTTGGGGTTGTAAGGGTCAAATTGCTGGTTCAGAAAATGATCATTGAAGAGGCTAAAACTTACCACCGTAACCTCTTTATGTGTTGGATAGACTACAGATTCTGTACCTCACGAATGGATTTTGAAGTCACTGGAATGTATTAACCTCCCCGAGCGACTATTTGTTTAACTCTAGTTTTTAATGAATTGCTGGTCAACTCAACTTGAGATGTATTCGCGGGGGCAGGTGGTGATTTGGGACCCATTTCTATTAGAAGAGGAATATTTCATGGCGATTCTTTCAGTCCTTTGCTTTTCTGTTTGTCATTAAATCCTTTAAGCTTTTTACTTAGCAAAGAGGAAGGTTATCACCCGGGACCTCCTCAGCACAGATCCCCAACACCCCTTACTCACCTCCTTTACATGGATGATCTTGAACTTATTGCCAATGGATGATCCACACTAAAAAAACAGATTCTCCTTGTCGGATCCTTTTCTAATGATATCGGCATGTCCTTTGGACTCGACAAATGCAACATTCTTCATCTGAAACGTGGCAAGGTAGAAGAGGGAGGATCAGTCAGTTTACTTGGAGGAGGAGTTATTGACCATCTCGTGGAAGGTCAGACTTAGGGATGCAGATTAGGGACAAACTCCAGAATGCCCATATCAAGGGAAAACTTCGGGCAGAGTTCAAATGTAGACCTAAGAAAATCTGGAGTTCAGAGCTGAACGCTCGCAACATAGTAAAAGCCACAAATACTGTGGATGTGACCGTCCTTTTGTATTCGTTTGGTGTTGTTGATTGGACGAAACAATAAATTCAGGGTATTGACATCCTCACAGGAAGAATCATGTCAGACAATGGATCCCACCACCCTCGCTCTTCCCTCAATCGCTTATATTTACCAATTATGATGGGGGGACGTGGTTTGATTAACGGTGGGGCTCTTCATGATATAATTGTTTTGTGCACTTTTGCACACATTTATTTGTCTGATGATTCTCTTGTGAAGCATGTCAAGACTAAAAACAAGGCATTCCACAGTTTTCCAAAACGAGCCAAGGATGTGGGACATAATCTCAAAGTCGGTGTTGATTTTGTTGATGGTTCTGTACTGCTGGACGGTAAAGAAATGAGTGTCATCTAAGAGTGATACCTCTATTGTCAAATCGTTTTAAGTTGCAACAAAATCAGTACACGCGCTATCGAGTCACAAGCACGGGCGTGTCTGACAAGGACTCGATTGTCTACGGGCTTCCGTCGTAGGGCAGGAGTTAAAATCATCTGGTGATCAAGTGATCGATGAACCAAAACATTTAGTGACCGACAGTGAATTTACTGATTTTATTGAAACTTATGTAAACGATATGTTAA